TTATCCTGTGGGTGTGAGAAAAAGGACGTTTGGAGCGGACACTGACATGGTGCTTTACACTGGATTTATGATTTAGCCAGCAGTCTCCCTTTCATAAAGGAACAACCAACCATGAGGGGAGACTGTAGTTTCAATTTAAGCATTGAATAATTTAAACAACAGGAAATAATAGAGGTGGCAAGGGAAATATTATGTATGAAAACATAAATAACTAAATGGAGAGCAGCTCATGTACTGCAGGTAGCTCCATGACATTAGACAGTCACAGCCAAATGGACTACATTTATAGAGAAAATATTGTATTAATAACAAAATAAACAATAACAAAATCTGAATGAATAGGGCCCCAAAGTGTTCAATATTAAATAAATAACAAATTAGAACAATGTATTGTGGAAAATATACAGATTAAATACTTTTTTGAATCAAGGAAATATAAATCATTATTTTTGACATTTAAGTTGATTTCTTTAGAAGATATATTTGCTCACTACCCAGCTGATAACAATAGCTATATAGTTTGACATCAATGTACATGCTGGTATTAATATAGTAACATATTATTGTAATCAAACACAGGGCAATATACTTGATGTTGCCTTTTAGTTGGTGCTTTATAATTTAACATGTGTACTTTCACTGATATGTGAGGTCAGGACAGGACAACTGCTTCCTTATTGGTAAAAGCATTTACTCCAACTGGCTTTTTAAAGTAGGAGCTCTGTATTTTCAAGTGCCAAGCTGTTGAGAACACAGTTATAAGTCAAGGTGTTTTTGGGTAAAATATAATTATGAAATAAAAAAGGGACTATTCATAAATAATGCTTTAAAATAATAGCATTTATAATCAAAGAAAGATCTAAAGAAAATGATGTTATGAAAACTAAGGCTAATATTCTAAGCACTGTTTCATTAGCATTGTTAGCTACTTTGTTTAGTGGTCTTCTTGTTCAGACCTGTATGGAGCCAATCCCAGGTTTTAAATTCCTTATCGAGAACCTTTATTATTAATTATGTTGAATAAATCTTGTTTTATTTAAATACATTTTTTACTCTATTCATATAATTATCTTGTATTATTTTTGTTATTTATATACACTTTGAGGTTCCTTACCAACCGAGGTCCTGCTGTGTTATAATTAGGGTTGGGTATCGTTTGAATTTCCACGATTCTGATTCTGATTCCGATTCCGATTCTACTGTTCGATTCCGGTTCTTAACGAATCTCAATTCCGATTCTTTGAGGGGCAGGGTAAAAAAATGATACATGCTTCTTCCACCAAAAAAATTAAATGTATTCGAGAAACTTTTACACAGGTTAGTTTACAGTAATAATCACATGAATCAGTCTGTTTATATTCACTGCTATGTAACTGTAACCTGAGAACCACTGAAGCTACAACAATCTAACTTTTAAAGGAACCCCCCCCCCCCCCCCCCCCCCCCCCATTTAAAAACAGTTCTTGTTGAGAAAAACAAGCATATCTGCCTTCTCAGGCATACCGGGAAGAAATGTTTGAACATTTTAAAGTAAAATACTTCAATCTAGGGGGTACAACTCTAAACACCCATATGAAAAAGATCGGTTTACATTTTAATAATTAAATAAGTATGTGAACATAATCAGTAACCTATAGCCAATAACAAATAAATGTAACGTATTTTATTTTTGTTGTTCATTCATATCTTACTATTTTATTTATGCATATGTTTTTATCTCTCCAGTTTAAAACGATATGTCTGGTTTACTGTCCTATATGATACATTGGAATTATTTCAAACCTGTTTTATCCAAGCGGCAAACTCTGGGGAACAGCCGGGAAGCCAATACGGAAGTGCCACACACTGCAGTTCATACATGGGCCGCTAGGGACTGGCTGCAGAAAGGAGCAATTTCCATAGACCCCCATGTTAAAATGCCCAACTTTACAGCAGAAAAAAACATGTTTCTACCCATGGATGCAATAAATATTATTATCGATATAGTTAGATTCCACCTTCATGATTATGAATCTGTGAGTGAATTGTTTTCTAACACGACCCTTTTATTTATATTAGGTCTTAAAGTTTTTGCATAAATTAGGGCTTGGTCACGTTGATGGACACGTACATGCCTCACTGTCAGCTAACAGCAACTTGTCCACTCTGCTAGGCTACAACCATAGAGGCTACAACGTTAGTTAGCCAAAGACCCTAATTTTCATTGCATAGCTTCCAATTTTTCCGAAAGGTTTATGACAAAAGTAATCCTGCATTTAAAATGAAGCATACTGCTGAATTGTTGGGAAAAATATTTTGACGGTGTTCCCTTTTAAAAATTTGAGCCAACGACCCTAATTTGAACCATCATTCTGGCTTCTCATGCATCAAAGTTCAGTATAGAAGAAACAACTGCGATGGCTGGGAATCGAACCCAGGTCAACTGCTTTGAAGGCAGCTATGCTCACCACTATACCACCATCGCTACACAAAAGTATTTTCATTGCATAGTTGCCTATTTCTCCGACCGTTGATACTAAATTTACTAAAAGTCACCACTATACCATCATTGCTTCGGTTAAGAGGTTTTTTGCCGGTTTCATCAGACTGGATTCTCATGCATCAAAGTTCAGTATAGAAGTAACAACTGCGATGGCTGGGAATCAAACTCAGGTCAACTGCTTGGAAGGGAGCTATGCTCACCACTATACCACCATCACAAGCTTCTGCATTGCATTGTTGCCAATTTCAAAGGTTTATGCCAAAAGTAAACATGGATTTAAAATTATGCATACTGCTGAATTGCTGGGAATGTGTATTTGCCGGTCTTCCCTATTACAATGTTTAGCCAAAGACCCTATTTTGAACCTTCATTCTGGCTTCTCATGCATCAAAGCTCAGTATAGAAGAAACAACTGCGACGGCTGGGAATCGAACCCAGGTCAACTGCTTGGAAGGCAGCTATGCTCACCACTATACCACCATCGCTACACAAAAAGTATTTTCATTGCATAGTTGCCTATTTCTCAGACCGTTGATACTAAATGTACTAAAAGTCACCACTGTACCACCATTGCTTCGGTTAAGAGGTTTTTTGCCGGTTTCATCAGACTGGATTCTCATGCATCAAAGTTCAGTATAGAAGTAACAACTGCGATGGCTGGGAATCAAACCCAGGTCAACTGCTTGGAAGGCAGCTATGCTCCCATCACTATACCACCATCACAAGCTACTGCATTGCATTGTTTGCCAATTTCAAAGGTTTATGCCAAAAGTAAACATGGATTTAAAATGTAATGCATACTGCTGAATTGCTGGAATGTGTATTGCGGTTCTCCTTATTACAATTTTTAGCCAAAGACCCTATTTTGAACCATCATTCTGGCTTCTAAAGCATCAAAGTTTAGTATAGAAGAAACAACTGCGATGGCTGAGAACGGAACCCAGGTCAACTGCTTGGAAGGCAGCTATGCTCACCACTAAAACCACCATCGCTACACAAAAGTATTTTCATTGCATATATTGCCTATTTCTCCGACCGTGATACTAAATTGTACTAAAAGTCACCACTATACCACCATTGCTTCTGTTAAGAGGTTTTTTGCGGTTTTCATCAGACTGGCTTCTCATGCATCAAGTTCAGTATAGAAGTAACAACTGCGATGGCTAGGGAATCAAAACCCAGGTCAACTGCTTGGAAGGCAGCTATGCTCACCACTATACCACCATCACAAGCTACTGCATTGCATTGTTGCCAATTTCAAAGGTTTATGCCAAAAGTAAACATGATTTAAAATTATGCATACTGCTGAATTGCTGGGAATGTGTATTTGGACCGGATCTTTCCTTATTACAATTTGTAGCCAAAGACCCTATTTTGAACCATCATTCTGGCTTCTCAAGCATCAAAAGTTTAGTAGTAGAAGAAACAACTGCGATGGCTGGGAATCGAACCCAGGTCAACTGCTTGGAAGGCAGCTATGCTCACCACTATAACCACCATCGCTACACAAAAAGTATTTTTCATTGCATAGTTGCCTATTTCTCAGACCGTTGATACTAAATGTACTAAAAGTCACCACTATACCACCATTGCTTCTGTTAAGAGGGTTTTTTGCCGGTTTCATCAGGACTGGCTTCTCATGCATCAAAGTTTCAGTATAGAAGTAACAAATGCGATGGTGGGAATCAAACCCAGGTCAAACTGCTTGGAAGGCAGCTATGCTCACCACTATACCACCATCACAAGCTACTGCATTGCATTGTTGCCAATTTCAAAGGTTTATGCAAAGTAAACATGGATTTAAAATTATGCATACTGCTTGAATTGCTGGGAATGTGTATTTGACGGTCTTCCCTTATTACAATTTGTAGCCAAAGACCCTATTTTGAACCATCATTCTGGCTTCTCAAGCATCAAAGTTTAGTATAGAAGAAACAACTGCGATGGCTGGAAATCGAACCCAGGTCAACTGCTTGGAAGGCAGCTATGCTCACCACTATACCACCATCGCTACACAAAAAGTATTTTCATTGCCATAGTTGCCTATTTCTCAGACCGTTGATACTAAATGTACTAAAAGTCACCACTATACCACCATTGCTTCTGGTTAAGAGGTTTTTTTTGCCGGTTCATCAGACTGGATTCTCATGCATCAAAGTTCAGTATAGAAGTAACAACTGCGATGGCTGGGAATCATACCCAGGTCAACTGCTTGGAAGGCAGCTATGCTCACCACTATACCACCATCACAAGCTACTGCATTGCATTGTTTGCCAATTTCAAAGGTTTATGCCAAAAGTAAAACATGGATTTAAAATTATGCATACTGCTGAATTGCTGGGAATGTGTATTTGACGGTCTTCCTTATTACAATTTGTAGCCAAAGACCCTATTTTTGAACCATCATTCTGGCTTCTCAAGCATCAAAGTTTAGTATAGAAGAAACAACTGCGATGGCTGGGAATCGAACCCAGGTCAACTGCTTGGAAGGCAGCTATGCTCACCACTATACCACCATCGCTACACAAAAAGTATTTTCATTGCATAGTTGCCTATTTCTCAGACCGTTGATACTAAATGTACTAAAAGTCACCACTATACCACCATTGCTTTGGTTAAGAGGTTTTTTGCCGGTTTCATCAGACTGGATTCTCATGCATCAAAGTTCAGTATAGAAGTAACAACTGCGATGGCTGGGAATCATACCCAGGTCAACTGCTTGGAAGGCAGCTATGCCTCACCACTATACCACCATCACAAGCTACTGCATTGCATTGTTGCCAATTTCCAAGGTTTATGCCAAAAGTAAACATGGATTTAAAATTATGCATACTGCTGAATTGCTGGGAATGTGTATTTGCCGGTCTTCCTTATTACAATGTTTAGCCAAAGACCCTAATTTGAACCATCATTCTGGCTTCTCATGCATCAAAGTTCAGTATAGAAGAAACAACTGCGATGGCAGGGAATCGAACCCAGGTCAACTGCTTGGAAGGCAGCTATGCTCACCACTATACCACCATCTCTACACAAAAGTATTTTCATTGCATAGTTGCCTATTTCTCCGACCGTTGATACTAAATGTACTAACAGTCACAACGATACCACCATTGCTTTGGTTAAGAGGTTTTTGTCCGGTTTTCATCAGACTGGATTCTCATGCACTTCACTGGCTTTTTCATTGCATAGTTTCCAATTTATCCGAAAGGTTTATGCCAAAAGTAATCCTGCATTTAAAATTATGCATACTGCTGAATTGGTTTGACATGTTTTTTGACGGTCTTCCCTATTATCATTCTTAGCCAAAGACCCTATTGTGGACATTCTGACTGACTTCTCATGCATCAAAGTTCAGTATAGAAGAAACAACTGCGATGGCTGGGAATCGAATCCAGGTCAACTGCTTGGAAGGCATTTATGCTCACCACTTTACCACCATCGCAAGACAAAAGCTTTCTCATTGCATAGTTTCCAATTTCTCCGAAAGGTTTATGCCAAAAGCAATCCTGCATTTAAAATGAAGCATACTGCTGAATTGTTGGAAAAAAGATTTTGACGGTGTTCCCTTTTACAATTTTTAGCCAAAGACCCTAATTTGAACCATCATTCTGGCTTCTCATGCATCAAAGTTCAGTATAGAAGAAACAACTGCCATGGCTGGGAATCGAACCCAGGTCAACTGCTTGGAAGGCAGCTATGCTCACCACTATACCACCATCGCTACACAAAAGTATTTTCATTGCATAGTTGCCTATTTCTCCGACCGTTGATACTAAATGTACTAAAAGTCACCACTATACAATCATTGCTTCGGTTAAGAGGTTTTTGTCCGGTTTCATCAGACTGGATTCTCATGCATCAAAGTTCAGTATAGAAGTAACAACTGCGATGGCTGGGAATCGAACCCAGGTCAACTGCTTGGAAGGCAGCTATGCTCACCACTATACCACCATCGCTACACAGAAGTATTTTCATTGCATAGTTGCCTATTTCTCCGACCATTGATACTAAATGTAATAAAAATCACCACTATACCACCATTGCTTTGGTTAAGAGGTTTTTGTCTGGTTTCATCAGACTGGATTCTCATGCATTACAGTTCAGTATAGAAGTAACAACTGCGATGGCTGTGAATCGAACCCAGGTCAACTGAATGGAATGCAGCTATGCTCACCACTATACCACTATCACTAGACAAAAGCTTTTTCATTGCATAGCTTCCAATTTTTCGGAAAGGTTTATGACAAAAGTAATCCTGCATTTAAAATTAAGCATACTGCTGAATTGTTGGGAAAAAGATTTTAACGGTGTTCCCTTTTACAATTTTTAGCCAACGACCCTAATTTGAACCATCATTCTGGCTTCTCATGCATCAAAGTTCAGTATAGAAGAAACAACTGCGATGGCTGGGAATCGAACCCAGGTCAACTGCTTGGAAGGCAGCTATTCTCACCACTATACCACCATCGCTACACAATAAGTATTTTCATTGCATAGTTGCCTATTTCTCCGACCGTTGATACTAAATTTACCAAAAGTCACCACTATACCACCATTGCTTTGGTTAAGAGGTTTTATGCCGGTTTCATCAGACTGGATTCTCATGCATCAAAGTTCAGTATATAAGTAACAACTGCGATGGCTGGGAATCAAACCCAGGTTAACTGTTTAGAAGGCATTTATGCTCACCACTTTACCACCATCGCAAGACAAAAGCTTTTTCATTGCATAGTTTCCAATTTCTCCGAAAGGTTTATGCCAAAAGCAATCCTGCATTTAAAATGAAGCATACTGCTGAATTGTTCGGAAAAAGATTTTAACGGTGTTCCCTTTTAAAATTTTTAGCCAAAGAACCTAATTTGAACCATCATTCTGGCTTCTCATGCATCAAAGTTCACCACTATACCACCATTGCTTTGGTTAAGAGGTTTTTGTCTGGTTTCATCAGACTGGATTCTCATGCATTACAGTTCAGTATAGAA